CGTTTTGGGCGCAAATAAAGTATGCGGTAGAGAAAGCAGCGAAGGCCACTTCTGCCTTAAGCAAACTAATGGCTAACACAGGAGGACCCGTCGCAGAAAAACGGAAATTGTTAATGACAACAGTAAACGCAATTCTTCTATACGGTAATTATCAATTTTAAATAAAAGGCACAATTGAATTTTTGACAATTCAATTGATGCGAAGCCACATTCGTTATCGATTCTTTTTTGTTCGTTCTAATAGCTTGTAGATTTGGTTCAAGTGCTAAATTTACACCATATAAGCACCTGACTACTGGATTCAAGTGTTCAGTAATCAGGATAATTTAGAACAATCTTCAAATCACTGGGTTCAAGTGCTCAGTGGTTGTCGTGTTCAAATAAGTCAACATAAGTACTGGATTTAAGAGTTCAGTACTTGCAAACAGTTGATTTCAACCTTTGATTCAGCGTGTGATCATACATTTGGTGTGATCGTACATTTTGGTGACCCGTGAAACGGACAGCAGCACAGGACTGGTTTGACGCAGCAACAGTCAACAATCAACAGTCAGCGGTTAAGTTTCAGCATTCAGCATTCGAAGAACATTCTTAAGCACATTTGGCAAAAACTTCAGAATAACGATGGCAACAATCAAAGCAGCAGACAACTTTGGTGAAGGTGTTAGTAACCAAATGGCATCACAGCCGCAACTAGTAGCTACGACAAATGGTTTGATAAGAAAAATATCCGCTCGAATGGCAGCTTTAAAAAGGTTAGTAGAGAGCTTGTCAGAGAGCGAAGGCATACAGCCACTTCAATATTACGAAATTAAATCAAACACAATCATGCAACATTGGAACCAATTGGAATGTTTGCATGATGAACTATGGGAAAACTTTGAAAATCCACTGATGTCAGGATTCAATTAAGATGAGTATTACCAAATTGAAGATTTGGTACAACAATGTTTGATAGAGTTGTCCATAAAATTGGATCAATTACAACAGAAACAAGCAACAGTAGCAGAACCAAACATGCGGTCCTCACTGCCATTGCCAAAGGTAACAATCCCAAGTTTTAATGGGAATTACTTAAAATGGAGGCAATTTTTTGACTTGTTTACACAAATGGTAGACAATCAGCCACTACCAGCTGCTCAAAAAATGTGGTACTTGAAATCACATGTGACAGGTGAAGCTGAAAAATTGATAAGTCATTTCAGCATAACGGAGGACAATTATTTGGCAGCTTGGACATTACTGCAAGACCGTTATAATAATAAAAGGGTCTTGGCGTCCACATTAATCGATGAACTTCTAAATCAGCCATCAGGCACATCAACTGTGGCAGCAGTTAAAAATTTACATGACACAACGAAAGAGTGTCTATTAGCACTAAACAATCTTGGCGTTCAAAAGACATTTTGTATCACCCACTGTATCATTGCCGTAAATTCTTGCAATTTTCACCATCTCAACGATTGGATTGGGTGAAAAATCAACAGCTCTGTTTTAACTGTTTTAGAAATGATCAAGTGGTGAACAAATGTTCATCAAGAAGTTGTACCAAATGTAATAAAAAGCATAACACGTTGCTACATTTGGAAGTTACAAAACAGAACATTCAACCTAGCTCAAGTGGGTACAACACCGCAGTTACCACAGCGACAGCAAACACATCCACAGGTCATCGTGATTATGTTCTCTTGCCAACTGCAAGAGTCAAAATAATTGCATCTAATGGAAATACAAGTGAAGTCCGAGCATTACTAGACTCTGGTTCGCAAGTGAACATAGTCTCTGAGCGTCTTGTCAAAAGGCTCAATATATCAAAAACAAAATCGTTATTGTGCATAGAAGGTATAGGAAAGGTGCAAAAAAATTCAACGCAGCGAGTTAACATCAAATTGCAATCACTTAACTCAAGGTTTACTACAGAAGTCGAAGCGTTTGTGCTTCCAAATATAGTTCCACCTCAACCAAGTTGCAGCTACGATATTTCCAAATGGAAGGTCCCGAACAGCATTCAGTTAGCAGATCCAACATTTTTCCAACAAGGGAAAATTGATATTTTACTCGGTGCGGAGTTCTATTTTAGTCTGTTAAAGGTAAATTAACGCTTGCTCCTGGGCTTCCAGTCTTGCAAAATTCTACATTTGGCTGGATTGTCAGTGGCAAGGTTGCATCAAATACAGACACATCAAACGTTTTATGTGCAGTTTTTGGCGGTGGGGCGGAGGCTGTTGATAATAACTCATCGTTAGAAGATGCAATTGAACGATTATGGCGAATGGACGAGGTGAATACAACAGAAAGGACATTATCCAAAGAAGAAAAATTATGCGAATCTCATTTTGTTCAGAACGTCCATACAAATAAAGAAGGACGTTTTGTGGTAAGGTTGCCGTTTCTGGAAAACTCATTGACGTTAGGGGAATCTCAAGAAACAGCTTGGAGAAGGTTCATCAGTCTTGAACGACGACTAGCAAAAAATGATGTTTTGCGGAAACAATGTGTCCAGTTTATGGAAGAGTATGAGCGATTGGGTCACATGACTAAAGTAAACTTGGATTCCATGTTGACTCCAAGATATTTCATTCCTCATCATTGTGTACTAAAACCAGATAGTACAACTACTAAACTTCGAGTGGTGTTTGACGCATCAGCCAAAACTACATCTGGACACTCGTTGAATGATTTAATGTATAACGGACCGACAGTTAAAAGTGAACTCTTTTCAATTCTGCTCCGTTTTAGGCGACCACGGTTTGTTTTTACCACAGATATCGAAAAAATGTATCGTCAAGTTCTGATAAATCCTGAAGATCGACGCTATCAACTTATCATTTGGAGAAGCAGTCCAAATTCAACGATTCGTTATTATCAGCTAAACACAATTACATATGGGACTCGAGCAGCTCCTTACCTAGCAACAAGGTGTCTGCAAAAGATAGCATCAGAAAACAAGGTGAATTATCCATTGGGAGCTCAAATCCTGTGTGACAATTTCTACGTTGACGATGGGCTCGGTGGATCAGATAGTTTAATTACGGCTATTGAAGCTCAAAGACAACTAATCCATATTTTGAAGAAGCATCATTTTTGTCTTCGGAAATGGAGCGCAAATCATCCTCAACTGTTGAAAAACATTTCTCAAGATGATCAAGAGGTAAATCTAGATTTCGATAATAACGAGTCAATCAAAACGCTGGGATTATTTTGGTTGCCCAAGGCGGATTTATTTGGAATTAAGGTCAAAATGGTTACTGAAGGAATAATCACGAAGAGAGTCGTTAGTTCTGATTTAGCTAGACTGTTCGACCCACTTGGTTTATTAGCTCCAGTAATAGTCAAAGCAAAGATTTTCATACAACACTTGTGGCAATTGAAATTATCTTGGGATGAACCACTTCCTTCAGATCTTCGTACAACATGGTCAACATTTAGAGAAAACTTAAGTACTCTTGAAAACTTCAGGTGGCAAGACATATCTTCAGAGGCGAGGTTCCATCATCAACACAGCTGAATATTTTTGCTGACGCATCTGAAAAGGCATTTGGCGCTGCAGCATATGTCAGAGCAATTTTAAAAGATGGTAGAATAATAGTGCGACTATTATGTGCAAAGTCAAGAGTAGCTCCACTCAAAAAACAAACGCTACCGCGACTAGAGTTATGTGCGGCAGTCTTAGCAGCAGAACTCTCAGCAAGAGTGAAAAGCGATCTTCAAGAGAAGGACCAGCCGGTTTTTTTGTGGACTGATTCAGAAATTGTGTTATCTTGGATCAACTCACAGTCCTCATCATTTCAAACATTTGTAGCTAACAGGGTGGCAAGAATTCAAACTTTAACTCTGTCTGAACAGTGGCGACATGTTAGGTCAAAGGACAGCCCAGCTGATGTGTTATCAAGAGGACTTTCAGCAAGGGCGTTATCAACATGTGCACTTTGGTTTCAAGGACCGTTCTTTTTGCATGGAAGATAGGAAGTATGGCCACCAAGGTTTTCATCATCATTACAAGTTCCAGTCGATCTAGAGAAGAAGAAGGTTGTAGCTGTAGCAACTCAAAGCAATGACGCAGATCTCATATACAGGATTCAGCACAAGAATTCATTTAAGACGTTACAAAAGATAGTAGCATATGTTCTTAGATTCACTAACAACGCAAGAAAATCAAAGGAGTCACGTGCCACACATATAGTACTTAGTGCCAACGAATTGGATGCAGCATTAATAACTATAATATTTCACATTCAGGGTAATGATTTTCATGAAGAAATCAAACAACTGAAGAAACAAGGTCATGTTGATAAATCTAGTTCAATCAGTAGTTTATCTCCATTCATTGATAATGCAAATGTTCTTAGAGTAGGAGGACGCTTAGAAGCCTCATCATTACCATACGATTCTAAACACCCAATGCTGATACCATACAATGATCCATTGGCAAAATTATTATTCGTGATGTTCCATGAAGAAAACAAGCACTGTGGCCCGCAGGCATTATTGAGTATAATCCGACAACGTTTTTGGCCGATTAAAGGTGAATCAACAGCCCGAGCAACGGTTCAGCGATGCATTCGATGCAACAAAGCACGTCCGCAATTATGCCAACAAATTATGGGCAATTTACCAGAATCAAGAATAACTCCTGCACGACCTTTCATTAATGCTGGTGTAGATTATTGCGGACCATTTTGGATCCACTACAAGGTGAGAGGCAAAAAGCCAACAAAGGCATATATTGCTGTCTTTTGTTGCTTTTCTACATAGGCGGTACATCTCGAGTTAGTGCCCGACTTATCAACAAATGCTTTCATTGGAGCATTAAAACGATTTATAAGTCGACGAGGGCGTTGTTTGAATATTTACAGTGATAACGCAACAAACTTCGTAGGCGCCAAAAACCAGTTAGCAGAATTAGAAGAAAGCATTTATTCTAATGAAGGACAAGAAGCAATAATCTCTGCCTGCAGTACCAAAGGAAAACACAATCTGCCAACATACAGTTAGAAGACATGGTTATAATCAAAGAAGATAACGTCCCAGTGATGCAGTGGCCCTTGGGACGAATTGTACATGTGTACAAGGGTACAGATGGACATATCCGAGTAGCTGATGTTAAAACATCGGCAGGCATTTTTAAACGCCCAATTCATCGATTAGCTATACTGCCTGTAAATACAGATGATCAACCAACAATGGCTGAAGCTGATCACGAAGTACCTCCTGACAAGTTAATTATGAAAAATAGAAAAGAGTCGTATGAAGAGCCCAAGACAAAACGTAGAAAACTGCCGACCAATTTGTACTGTTCTGTATTACTTACATTATTACTGATATTGCCAATAGTAATAGGATCTCCAATTGACAATAAAAGGTTTGGTACAAAATTGGGTATTCACTTTGAAAATCTGGGCACAACTGCCATATCAACCACTGAATGGAATCTACTAGTTTATTATGATTTAAGTCTTTATTGGACGGAAGCAGCAGCTCTAAACACAGGAATAATGTCGCTACATCAAGCTTGTCAACAAATGAAACCAAACGCATCATGTGCGAATACAGTTAATCACTTTAAACATATTGAATCCGAACTACAACTCGATGATAAATTACTTCATGATCATCGTTTCAAAAGAGGAGCAATTGATCTTGTAGGCAATATTGCACATTCACTGTTTGGAGTATTAGACTCAGAATATGCCAAAGGAATGTCAAATATAATTACAGAAGTGAAACAAAATTAAATACAATTATTGACGCTATTTAAGAATCAGACATCAGTTGTCGATTCAACAATCAACATAATGAAGAAAGATAAAATAGCAGTTCAAGAAGGTTTTGACCACATTGACAATGAAATAAAGGCATTGATAAATTCAATAAAAGATAAAAATAGAGAGGTAAATCAATTACGGCTCAATCAAGTTTTCAATGCAGGAGCCATTCAATTAACACTGGTAGCACATAATCTACAGAAGATACAATCTACTATTATAGATGCTCTAACTGATACTCATCATGGAAAAGTGAATCCATTGTTATTGACACCAACACAATTACAAAAGGAATTTAATCAAATCAAACTTCATTTATCACCATCTTTAGAATTACCGATGCCAGAAGATGAGTTAATATCCCTTTACAGACTAATGAAGGTTAAAGGTGGAATCACACAGCAGCATGCAGTTTTTAGTATAACACTACCCTTGATTGAACATGAACGATTTGAATTGTTTCAGCTAATTCCAATCCCGAACTGGGTAAATGACTCCATGACGGTAATTGACTCCTGCAGTTCTATTTTGGCTATTAATACGCAGCATGATCAATATTTTCCTCTTATAAAATCCGAATTAAGTCTTTGTGAGACCATTAAGGAAGAGGAATTTCTTTGCACCAACGTCCGCATACGATACAATTTTGGTTCCGAAGTATGTGCATGTGAGGTCAACCTATTCAACAACAACACAATACCAAACTGTCGGTTGAAACACACTATCAACAAGCTGACCTGGATTCCATTGAATCACAAAAATCAATGGATTTATGCGACATCAACATCTTCACGAGCAACTGCAGTATGTAATAAGGAAATCATACCACTAAATCTAAAAGGTTCAGGTTTATTGACGATCGATCCAGACTGCGTGCTTAAACACAACTTTGTTTCCGTACAAGGACAACAAATAATTGCATGCACGTCAAGATATTCATACAGTAGTCTTGGTACAATCTCCGAATTAAGGCTACAACCCCCTATGAAGACATCAGATGCTTACAGCGGCAACAGTACACTATCAACGGTACGCAACAACCAATACGATCAACAGCTTAAAGAACTCACAGTATTGCAGAAGGTGTTACAGTCATACCAGATAAATGATCTTCCAAATCAATTTCAGTCACACAAGTACCACAGCTTCACCATAGCTTACGCTGCACTCGTTATAGGGCTGATATTAATCATAATCATGATGAAGAAGAAATTGCAGAAAAAACATGTTGAAATTCCATCCGATGAAGAAGCCACCTGCACAACACCTATACCCATGCCACGTCGACAGTCACGAGAATTCGTTATCAACATATAGTCGGACTGACTACCTGACAGCTAGAGGCTCATATTGTTGAACGGTTGTTCAACGCGGGGGAGAATGTTGAATATTTGTTTATATTATATTATATTATTATATATGAATATTTTGTTGTTATTAATTTTGTATGAATAATTTGTTATTTTTATTTGTATTGTAATAATTGTGTTAAATATATTTGGTGTAAAAAATAACGTTGTCAATGCAATGCCCAAAATACGTCATATGCTTCTGTTGGCACATGAAAACAAAAGCGTCAAATTTCGTCTGCAAGAAAATGCACTCTTGCAGTTTGCAATAAGTTCATTGTTTGGCATGCATTGTCAAGGTTATTTTAGTTAATTTATTTGTTGTAAATTAATTATCAATTTTAAATAAAAGGCATAATTGAATTTTTGACAATTCAATTGATGCGAAGCCACATTCGTTATCGATTCTTTTTTGTTCGTTCTAATAGCTTGTAGATTTGGTTCAAGTGCTAAATTTACACCATATAAGCACCTGACTACTGGATTCAAGTGTTCAGTAATCAGGATAATTTAGGACAATCTTCAAATCACTGGGTTCAAGTGCTCAGTGATTCTCGTGTTCAAATAAGTCAACATAAGTACTGGATTTAAGAGTTCAGTACTTGCAAACAGTTGATTTCAACCTTTGATTCAGCGTGTGATCATACATTTGGTGTGATCGTACAGAAATAATAGCGCATAGAATAGCGCATAGTGCATGGAAGGGCGGCTCTACGTATCACATCAGCGTATTGCACTGTCTCGGCGGAAGCGGTTTTTGTAATAGCAGGTGTAACTCCAATAGATCTTCAAGCAAAGGAGCGCCAAAGAGTATACAACAGGAAAACAAACGGCGATTATACTCAACAAATGGCAAGAGAAGATCAGGACCAAACCATCGAAATGTGGCAACAAAGATGGAACAATAGCACTAAACGAAGATGGACAGCTAGATTGATACCAAATATAACCACTTGGCTCAAACGGAAATCGGGAGACACAAATTACTATCTCACTCAGATGCTGACCGGACATGGATACTTTTGTAAGTACCTGTACCGCATGGGAAAAATGGATTTGCCCGACTGCATTTATGGTGATGGGGACTGTGACGACGCACAGCACACCTTCTTTTACTGTAACAGATGGCTCACAAATAGAGAAGAGATAATAGCGCAAATTGGACATATAAGTCCCGAAAACATAGTGGAAAAGATGAAAGCGAACTCAGAGAGTTGGCGAACAATAGAGTCATATGTGATTCAAGTTCGGAAACGAAGAAATTAGATCTAAAAAGGAGAACTAGAAACTAGAATAAGAAATATAATAAATAGAGTGGACACCAACAAAAAGCGGTGAAAAGTGGTGGTCTGGACGCAGATCGAAAATCAAGAGAACATGGCTTGAAATATCAACATATTCCCTCCTCGAAGTAATGCGAAAGCGGTTCCGAGAGAGAATAAGCCTAGTTGAAGAGGGGGTGTTTTAGTCCGTATACTTCATTCCATTCCGCACCATTCCGATGACGGTCGGTTTGACGGTGCATAAAGCATTCCACCTCCTCACCACAAAAAAAAAAAAGCACCGAAAACCTGAAACAGAATTGTTCTCGCATAATGGCATTGGAGGTGATTCAGAGGTTTGAAAAGGTGAAGGAAACAAAACTCTGCATAAATTGCTTATCGTTACGTCAGCATTTTAACAACCCTGGTGCAGGATCATCATAATATACAGAACATACTGTTATATCCAATGATAACGTTGCCAGCCATTCCAATCTTGATATGTCGACGATTGAACAAACCATTCTGGCCTCTGCACTGATTTTAGTGAAGATCTTATCCAACTTTAAAACTGAGAAGTTCTCAAAGAAGCTTATTCTATCGAAATATAAACAACATCTGCATATTGTAAGTTCATTAATCAATATAAAGCATCAGATGGTTACATTAAGTAAATCTCGCCACTCGAATCTGGAACTTTTGTATAACTTCCCACATCACCTATCAACCAAGTTAAGAAGTCGACGTATCATCATAGAAAGTTCCACTAAATATACACCGCGTCAATGAGAACTTTTTCAAATATAAGCGAGTTGAACTTTTGCTTGGAGCTGTAAGTTTTTTTGGTATTCTGGCTGTGTGTCAAATCAAGTTAGATAAAAATCTTACAGTGCTGCAAAAAACTCAGCTCGAATGGAGCTGAGATTATCACCACTGATCAGCCTATTTTTTCGTGTGCACGGCGGCTAAATCCGCAAAAACTGCAAGCAGCCAAGCAGGAGTTTGAGTCCACAAAATATAGTGCAAAAAGGAAATGACTTGTGGAGACCTTGTGGCGATTATCGTCGACTTAATGTCCAAGATTTCACGCATTCACTAAATGGAAAACGCATTTTCACAACATTGGATTTAGAAAAGGCGTACTTTAATATACCGGCTGCTGAAGAGGATAGAGAAAAACAGCAATAATTACACCTTTCGGCCTATACGAATTTAATGTGATGACTTTTGGACTTTGTAATGCAGCACAATCATTTCAAAGGTTCATGGACCAAGTTCTTTTCGCGTTTAAGTTTGCCATATGTTATATTGATGATATTTGCATCGCATCCGATAACATAGACGAACGTTTGTTATCGAACGTTTCGTATGGCCGGGTATGGCTAAAGACATTGCGGAGCGAGTTAAATTATGTCTTCCGTGCCAACGAGCAAAAGTCACGCAACATAATAGATCAGCAATTTTGAATTTTAACGTACCAAGTGAGCGGTCTGCTGTAATCTACATTGACCTCATTGGGCCTCTACCATCGTCAAACGGTTACCTATATTGCCTTACATGTATCGATCGGTTTACCAGACGGCCAGCGGTAGTCCCTATCGAGGATATACATGCCAGCACGGCCACAGCGCTCATCAATGGTTGGATCATACACTTTGGCGTTCCGAAACAAATCATAACAGATCAAGGAAGACAGTTCGAGTCAGCACTGTTTAATGAATTAGCGAAACTCATTGGTGCCAAACATATTCGAACTAGTCCACGTTAGTTCACCCGCACTCAACCGGTGCGGGTGAGTGTTGATCGGGTAAAGGCAGCATTTTTATCAAGTGACAATGAAGGCGTAAGCCCATCACGTACAGAAAATATGGCAGATACTCAAATGGATACCAAACCTAGTAATGTAACACGAAAGGGACGATTAGTGCAGGTCCCAAGAAGATATGTTAAATTTGACTTAACGTGACATCGCACATGACTCAGTCACTGCCAGGGGAGTGATGTGGCGGTTGCATATTCACATTAATGTTTAAAATGATATGGGTTGGTCATACAAACACGGACAAGTCAATTATTGAAAATAAGATGAGTTGGCCATAAAAGAAAATTTTTAAAAAACTAATAATATTTTTATTTAGTAAAAATAAGGTTGTTATTCTTTTTAGGTTTGGGGAAAACGAAGAATAAAACAACAGACACGTGTAATTTCAACACACAAAATTGAATAATTATTTCTTGCTTAAATAAATAAATAAATAAATAAAAAATTAAATTAAGTAGGATAACCCTACAAATCTTTTAAAAATAAACTTAGAACTAACAATAAGTTGGCGTTGCTAATTGCTGTATTAAAATAGAAAACAAAAACAAAAATAGATAAATAATTGTCCTTATCCAAAGCTTCGTCCCATTTCGTTTCCATGACGGGCATTATTCTTGATTAGTCGCTGGGTTCCAGAACTTTGGATAAGTTTGTGTGTTGCTGTCGATTTCATTTGTGACTGTGTTAATTCGAAGATCGCTATGAATATTTGCGTTTTTTATATATCAAGGGGCACCGACTATTGGCCAGAAGATTTTTGAGTGAGCTCTTAGAATTTTTTCAATGTTTAATGGAGAAGTAGAGCTCCAGAGTTCAATTCCGTAGATTCATATGGGTTTTATCATTGTATTGTAAAGTTGCACTTTATGGGTGAGATTAAGTTTAGAATTTTTGTTTATCAGCCAGTTTAGTTCTTTTTGCTTCAGTTATCATTAGGTTACTTTGGTTTCTACATGCTTTTTCCAAGTAAGCCTTCATTCGAGGTGCATTCCTAAGTATTCTGTGTCATTGCATTGGAGTATTACTTTCCCATTAATACGAAGTGCAGGGCAGGTATCTCGTCGTAGAGTGAAAGTTATGTGTGCACTTCTCGATTCGTTAACTTTTATTCTCCAGCCATTTTTGTAGAGGTGATCTTGAACAGATTTTGTGGCTGTGTATGGATCTTCGCAATGGCTGAAGATAGCAGTGTCGTCCGCAAATGTTGATGTTGTTATACAGCCGCTGGTTGGCATATCTGCTGTGAAAATTAGGCAGAGCTAGGGGCCCAGTACACTACCTTGGGGTGCACCGGCCAAAATGGGGAATGCATTGGAGACAAAAGAATTTTGTTTTATAACAAATCTTCTATTTGAGAGGTAGTTTTTGATAACTGAGGATATATTGTATAGTAAATGTTTTTCAAGTTTCCAAAACAATCCTTCGTGCCAAACTTTGCCAAAGGCTTGAGTTATGTCTGGAAAGACGCCTGAACAATACTGCCTCTTCTCAAATGTTTCCTTAATAACTCGTACTATGCTCGTACTCGTACTATGTGTACTTGTTCAATTGTGTTCTGCTTTTATCTAAACCCAAATTGGTGGTTAGGTATTATTCTTTATTATTTATGTAGGGCATCAGCTGTTGTATAAAAAGTTTTTGGAATAGTTTTGAGAGAATTGGGAGTAGACTTATGGGTCGATAAGAGATGACTTGAGCGGGGTCTTTTCCGGGCTTGGGTATCATCATGATTTTGGATAGTTTCCAGTCGTTTGGAAAATACGCAGTCCTTAGAATAGTGTTATAAATGAAAATTAGTTGATCTTTGGCGATTTGTGGGAAATCTTTCAACATTTTCGCAGTTATTAGGTCGTAGCCCGGTGCTTTTTTGTTATTTAAATTTTT